CGCTACATGACAAGGGAAAAATAGCTCTTAAGATTGAAAGGGAAGATCCAAAAATGTCATTATTCGCAAATGATATGACCGCTTACAAGGAAGGCCCGCCAGAACCTGCGGACAAGCTGTTAGAACTAACGGGAAAATCAGCAGGACGTCCAGATGCAAGACCAGCTGACCGCAGCGGTCCCGCTCCTGCGGGCCGGCCAAAGCCTGGTTGGAAAATGCAAGACAAACAAGGCCCACCTCACAACGACGTAAGGGACCTTGTGGGAAAGGTCAAACCCACTGAAGGACGTCAGACAATCTGAACACACGGAGAGGGGCCCGAGTCAAGGGCGGGGGCGCCGGGGTCTGTCCCCTGGACCGAGGAGGACGACGGGAACTCCCAACCACAGCGCCAGCTGGGTTCGCGCGGCTGTTAGAGTCTGAGATCCACCTACAGCTCGGACAGCGTTGAAACATAAGCACGAAGGATGAGGATTTTAGGGAGGCAGGTCCCCCGGGTGTGGGCGTCCACCCGGAACTGCCAGGAAGAGGACGGCACTCGTGCACACGTGGACACAGCCCAGCCCCAGGAGAGGGCCCAGCACAGAGCAAGTGTGGGAGCCCCCAGGCGGCGGGAAAGTGGGGGCCTGGGCGGAAAGGAGATCTCCGATGAAAAACCACTCCTGGGTCTCTCCGTGGCACCATGTGCAGGGGGAGCAGTGGTCGTGGCGGGATCAGACACCGAGACAGGAGCCAGCTCAGGGGCAGAGCGGACAGGCCACCTTGTGCCCACCTTCCCAGCCCACCCTGTTATCACCCGCCCGAGCAACGGGGCACACATCCGAGTCCCAAGGCAGCTCCTGGCCTGCTCTGTGGCCCTGTTGGCCCAGGCCCTCCCTGCCCCCAGGAGGCCCCTCTGCCGGCTCCACCTCCTGGCGCCAGGCCTGTTTACAGTCACGGGGAGTCAGACAGTGTGTAGATGACTACAGTGACTATGACCAAACTGAGACCGCCCATCGCAGTAACAGGGCTGACTCTGCAGAGCCCTTGCACCACCTGCACCCCCGGGTTCCTCCTCTGAACCCACGGTGGCACCCACCCCTGGAATCTGTGGCAGCGAGGCTGGAGGCAGACCCCAAGCTGAAGGTCTCCTGGACAGGGACCCAGAGCTGACTCTTTCCAAAGTACAAGGCTGAAATCATAGGCTGCTAGGGACTGGCCATGTCCAGTGTGGCCAGGGAGGAGTGTAGGGGTGGGGACAGTGCTTGGGGCAGTGGTGGGGACAGTGCTGGGGACTGTGCTGAAGGGGAGTGCTGAGGGGGCAGTGATGGGGGCAGTGCTGGACAGGCAGTGGTGGGGTCAGAGCAGGGAGCACTGCTGATGGGGCAGTGCTGAGGGGGCAGTGCTGAGGGGCAGTGCTGGGGTCAGTGTCGGGGAACAGTGCACCAAGGGAGCAGCACTGGGGGTTTGGTGGAGGAACCAGAGGCCCAAAGCCACAGAGCCAGGATTCGGCGTCCAGGGACCACGCTCAGGGTGTGGCTTGGCCCCGACAGGCGGTGGGGCTGCCCCGAGTCCCCAGAGACCATGAGCACAGAAGCCTCATCTGGGCTAGGCAGGCCTCAGGAAAGTGAAGACCTCAGCCTTCTGTCAGTTCCCCACCCAGGGGCTCCATCAGCACCCCCTCCACCATGGAGAAACGGAGGCACGGAGCAGGCCCCTCAGCCAGGCAGAGAGGGGGCTGGGCACCCAGTTGGCAGCCCTGAGGCCTGCGTTTCCCAGGGAAGCACCTGCCTCAGCCTCTCCTTCCAAGGCCCCGACTGGGACAGGGCGCCAGCTGTGGGGCGTGTCCTCCCTCTTGGGGACAGGCCATATTGCCCAGGCCTCTGTCACTGTGGGTACGGGCACAGCTGGACCACAGTGACACTGCTAATGCTCAAAACTAGCTGGCCCACCAGGGCTGGGCCCCGTCCCCACATGCCACCCTCCCAGACATCCTGGGGACCTCAGGGTGGCTCTGCCCAGAGAGCCAGGCAGGGCCCCTGCAGGCTGAGAGCTCCCCCGACCAGGGCCCCCATGCTCTCCGAGGAACCTGAGACAAGCCAGAGGCCCTCGGGTGGGGAGGGCAGGAGGCTCCATCACGGGGAACCTGCTGCAGCGTTTCCGGTGGCTACCGCACAGGAGGCTTGCAGCTCCCCACAGATCAGGGCCTCGGCCGCCCGCCCGGCCCACCCACCCCCGGGCCCCGGGGTGTGTCCCATCTCCCAGCTCCACAGCGGCGTGTGTGTCCATGGGGTCCTAGGGTGTGCCCCATCCCTGCCCCTCCCCTCAGAGGGGACATTCTGCACAGGAGCCCCTCACAGCAGAACAACCCACACGGTGGCTCAGGACAGACCCCAAAGCCCTTCTGTGAACCCTCTGCCCCCCTGCCATGGGGGATCCCCTCCTGCAGCAGCCCCTGCAGACAGGATGGACCCAACACATCACGGACACTGGCCAGGCTGGGCAGCAGGGCGCAGGCTGCATCTCAGATCCAGGACAGCCGTGCTCTGCACCTGGGAGGAGGGACCCGCTCTGCCCAC